CAGCCTAAGACCACACTGACATGGATGAAGACTGCCCTCAAAGTTTATTTCACAAAGAACCCCTGTTTTTATCCAGACTTTTGTAATTTTGCCTGAAATAGTTATGTTGTTCCAATAGTTTGATGTGCATTTTGGGAAATACAAAAGAGATGTGTACTTATAATTATGCAAGCATGTTTCATTTACATTGATTTCTATGCTTACTTGTATCAAGGAAAGTATTAAATTACCATTTTTGATATGGCTACTTAATATACATCATCACCATGGCAATATTTAATGAATAATGTCATCTTCACAAATACTTTAATTTCATCTATTAAGGAACAGTTACAAAACCTCAAATGCTGAAACTATGAGACGTAATGATCAACATGAAGTGAAAATTTTACACCTTTGACTTAGATTCAAATAGAAGTAATATTGATGGTAGAAACAATATTGCCTTTATCCACACATTATGATGGAGCTTGTTTCATAAATTTGACCAATTTTCTGATAACCTTGGCTCTACAGACTGTAAAATGTTACATGTGGTTGAGTCAATAACGTAACTTAAGTCACTCAAATTGTTACTTGCATTTAACATCTTTGAATGTGTGTGCATCTTAGACGAGTCAACAACCTGTCTCGTCCACGAGTCAACAACCTGTCTTGTCCAGAGTCAACAACAAGTCCATACACATATCATAATAACCCATAGTCAAATCTAAACACTTGTATTTACTTGATTTTATTTAAAAAAAATATACATTTCTTATTTATGTAAATTTTATTTAACCAGATTTTACTGAATTTTATTTCCTGTTTATCATAGTTATTTTTAAGTCAATTTAACTTACAGCATGCTCCCTCATGCATCAGGGTGATGTTGTTGTTACTTGGCGATGAAATTGAGAAATTCTGGTCACTGAACTTAAACCTGATATTTACAATCTTAGAATAATATAAAATACTTATAAATATGATACTTTTATTGAAAAAATGAAATGACTCGATATAGTCAATGAATAAATCAGTATTTAATTAATGATACTTAGAGTAAATTCACCAACAATAATGGTTTCAATTTGTTCATATGCTGTGAAAAAGCAAATAAATAACACAAGATATACAGCAGGTAAATATTATATTAATAAAAGTGAATATGTGCTTTGTGTGTGTGTCAGACCTATGCTTGCCATACACATACAAACAGTTTACTTTAACATGTTTTGTCATGTCATGTGTTGGGCTTTATTTACTTGCTTTACTTACTATGTTAGCAGCTACTATGCGTTACTATTGATATTAAGAATGGATGAATGGAGCAAACACCAATCAATATATATGCTGTGTGATGTTATTTAGAACAATTACAATTCCACTCAAAATGTTGTATGCTGTTTACATATTTACTTAAAATAGTTATAATTCATTGTAAAATACATCTGCTGATGTAGTTCATTAGATTTATGTGAGTGATAAAGATACTCTTAGCATTAATTAATTATTAAGTAACAGGCACTTAATTTATGAAAAATTACTTCACAGTAAATGCTTGGTTTCTTATTCTGCAAGGATCTTTAGATTATTTTAGCAATTTCAGTATGCTTCAGTGCTTTTTACTTAATAATCATAAATCTATCTGGACATTTCTAGTCCAATGATAAATGGACTGTTATTAAATACGTTCTTTGAGATTGTTTTGAATGTAGTAATTATTTTGCTCATGTTGAGTGAATTTTTACAGACTTTTACTGTATATTTTTAATTTTTCTAATCATAGAGTACAGAATGAGTGAAATTGATTTCAGAAATAGAATTGGTTATGAAATGCTAATCTGTGTTAACCATTATTTCAACTACAATATAGCTAAATGCTTTGATATATCGTATTCATTGTGAGACTGGTACTTCACATCAGTGTTTACTCTATGCACTTAATTATATCAAGTAATTTTGAGATGAAGCTTTTAGAATGTGTTTCAGATTAGGGTTACATGCTATTAAATGTAAGGCATACTAGACTGTTGTACATAATGTAGTACATTTAGATAAATTAGAGAATTTATATACAATCAGGGCAGGGTGTGGTAGATTATATTCCCCTATGCTAATACATGCAATGTTTGTAGTATTTTTAATGGCATTTTGATTTGTGATAACCTGTTTCTGTGTGTACTTGTTTTTACTGAGAGGCTTATCATTTTTCCTTTATTATTTTTAGTACCCCTGTCCTGTGTTAAATGTATCAGAGTATTCAGTAGTTTATCCTAGAATTATTTCTGTATATGTTCATAACAGACAAACCATGACATTGTAAATAAATTGTATTTTTAAATTGAAAAAAAAAGTTTGTAAATACAGAGTTAAATTTTAGTTATTTTTTGCATAATATTAAATTTCATTACTAATACTGTATGTTGTTTTGTTGCTTAATAGTTTTGTTATCAAAATGTTGGTGTTGACTTATGTACCGTGTTCATAAAAGCTCCTTTCTCTGCAATGAAATCCATTGGAGTAGAAGTTGTACTACTGCTTTTCACCACCAAAACACAGATTTTAATCTCGCTTATCGTTATGGTGGTT